GATGCAAAAGGTGCAGACATATCTCCATGGTTGCAATGATCAACATCCCTACACATGCTCATCACGACATCTGGTGTCATAAGTGTCCCAAAACAATTATGTTGGTGAGATCAGATAATCGCTACACTCTTGACTGAACTCACATAGGAAACTGATAAAAAGAATATCATCACAAGAGAGCTCCCCCCAGCCCAGGATGCATCAACTAAGAACAGCACCAGTACCAGACCCAGCCAGAACAACAGATGCAAAAGGTGCAGACATACCACTTCACTAGTGAGTGAATGTTTTTCACAAAATGTTCACGCTATATTTGGCCCATCAGTCCTCAAAGGAAACTTGCACAACACTTTCAAAAGGTGAGTGTATGAATTTATATGCATAACATTGCCAGACATTAAAAAACATGGACTAGATAGAGATACTGAACTTACAACAACAATCTATATCAGAGTGACCATAATTCCTGACCAAAAAACAGGAGGACCAGGGCTCGCCTGAGCCACACACACCACTACCACTTTCATCCATTGTGCAGGGTTCACAAGAGCTATCACCATACATACTGCCTACAGCTGAGGGGGGCTGACCCCTGAGCCTTGTGCTGACCATGGTTATGGCTGACCACACCAGCTCTGAGCCACGCAGGCTGAGTGCCTGAGTCCTATGCTGCCCATTGCTGGGGCAGACCCCCTGAATCCCATGCCACCTGTGTCTGTGTCTGGGGGTGACATCCACAAGCTCCACACTGGCTAAGGCTGGGACTAATCCTGTGAGTCCCTGTTGCCCTGCTCTTCACATCACTGCTCCCATCAATGTTCCTTCATGTGCCCCAAGGAGAGCACACCTGACTTTCTTGGTCAACTGGGCATTTGTTCATTTGCTCTTCCCATCTTTCTTTTCACCCCGATGATTGAAGAGGTATTAATGAGATGCTTCACCTTGAATGATCCACTGAAATATGTTAACAACTATGTTAAAGTAACAATCTCATTACCTTATATTTATCTGTGACATTCTACATACCTTTCCCAGAGCTGAAGAGGAGCTCTATGTAAACATGAAAACTTGTCTCTCTCACCAACAGAAGTTGGTCTAATAAAGATATTTCTCCACCCACCTTGTCTCTCTAATGTGCCAATCAGTCATTGCTGGAAATAATTTTAAAAGGGGTATGCAGTCCCAAATGTCTGTCAGCTGACAGTTTTAACTAGAATGAAAAGAGGGAATTAAAGATACTTGCTTCAAATTAAACAATGATCAGTGGGGCATCCCTACATTATCAGGGGTGCCCAACTCTCTGGCAATTAGGGTAGGAGTATATCTGATCCCCACAATCTCATAATAATTAGGGATATGAATATTGTGCTCTTGTACACATTTCATTCTTTTAAATAAAAATCCCATAAGCAGCTGGTTCCTGCCTCAGTACTGTTGGTCAGCTAATACCTTCCAGATGGCTGAAATGAAGCACAAGCACAAGATAAGGAGTGGAGGTGTTTTGGAGTGAAGGAGCTCTTTGCACTTGTAGTGCCTTAATTTGAAATATGAAGAGATTCTTTTCAGGGGTGAGGGTTGTAGAACTGCCTTTATTCAGCAGGTCAACCATCCTCTAAATCTTGGCTTGTGGCAGAGTCAAAGTTGTATTGTAGCATTACAGGGGTTGGATGGCCTTGAAGGCTTAGATCTTTTCTATCACATTAGACCCTCAGGATTATATTTCTATGAGATGTTTTTAACATATAATTTTAAACATGATTTATAGTAACTTCTTCAGACCTGATGAGTCTTGGCAGATACCTCAGCCACTTTCTGCACAAACACAAACACTAAACAGAGGGATTCTACAAAGGGATGGGAAAGGTGCTGTCCAGACTATTTGTGAGCATATACTAAAATGCCAACTAATGGGGTCACATTGATACCAGCTTACCCCTTGAAGATCAGATGTCAAGATGGATTCTGCTAGCTGAGAGAAGATGGAGGAGAAAAAAAAAGCAAATAAACACAATGAAATGTAACTAGCTGAAGTGTGCGCACCAGGGACATCACCACAACAAAGAGGGAAAAAGACAAGGTTGCTTTGTAAAAAGTGATAACTTTTGATTTTATGCCTATAATAATGATTAAAATATTATTGAAATTTGCTTAAAGAACATGGTCTGGAGATAGATCAAGAATGAGAGAGGTCAATGATAAGATTAAGATTACAGACTCAGGAAGGAAATTTGACTTGAGGACTTGCATAAAGGTAAATAGAGTATGAAGCTGCTTTTAAAGATGCAACATCAGATAAATCAGAAATGTGCAGGTCTAGTGGGCAGAGTGACAATCCAAACTACTAAAAATTCTTCTGTAGATTATAGATATATTTAGAGTATATAAGTGGTGCTTTGTTTTGAAGACAACAGATGTAATATATTACCTAACGAATAAAGATGTTACTGAAAGCAGTATTTCCCAGTCAAAATAAGTTTTCTTTTTGTTATCTAACCATTGCCATTTAGCACTTATTTTCAAAACTGTTTCCAGCCATTAGTGCCTCTGAACTGATTTGTTATGTTCATAAATTTTATCCCAATAACCTCTATTATTATTATTTTGTTCTTGTCATGTTTACATCAATTATAACACACATCTTTATGTTATTTTATCTGTTTTTGCAATGTCATTTTGCTATCATTTTTCTTAATAAAATATGTGACAAAGAATAAAGTACTAAAAGGTATTCAGATTTCCCTTTCCTATTGATTTTATTTGTATACACCTTTGTAATTTTATAACTGTAAAATTTATAATTAGTGTACTGCAGTACACTTTATCAGATGCTGATGCTTTCCAAATACAAGTTGTTGAGCACACACATAATCCAGTATCTGAATTTCTAATGAAGCAGGAAAGGTTATTTCAGGGCATTTTGTATGATTTCAGATACTGAGAATCAACAATGTAAAAGATGGGGCCTGATTCTGTGAGCTACTGATTTTCCTTAATTTCTACCAAAGTCAACAGAATTTTAATCTTTTAGCATACAGTTATGATTAAAAATCTAAATACTGTTATTTGAACAATCTGTTTCTTCATTTATTGTATATAGCTTAGCTACCTTTTTTTCAAAATCAGAGTTCTCTTAAACTTCTAAAACTCTATTATCATAAGCAATCTGAAGATTGATTTAATTATCCTTAGACAATGGACTTAAATGCACAGAATGAAAGTCTATCCATCTTGTCACACATTTAACTAAGAGTATGTCTACACTATGGGATAAAGTTGAATTAAGATATGCAATTTCAGCAACATTATTGGTGTATCTGAAGTCAAAGCACCTTAACTTGACTTCTGGTGCTATCCACAGTGCCAGAAGTTGAAAGGGGAACACTTTCTCTATGATTTCCCTTACTCGTGGAAGCAGAACTATCGGCATCAACTGGAGTGCTCCTCTCAGTTCGAATTAGCGTGTCTTCACTAGACCCATTAATTCAAACCCTGGAAGATCAATAGCAGCAGTTTCTATCTTCTCTGTAGTGTAGACATACCCTAAGTGATAAATAAGATGTATTTATCCTGCATTACAAGCTACAGGAATAATAACACACTAATACATTTGGGAACTGATGCAAAGTATATAGATATCTTTAGTTATCTGCCTCTGACTTTAAATGAGGGAAACACAATTAATTTTGGAGGGGAAGAAAACAAAGATGTGAATTACTGAACTGTGACATTTTAGTTCTTCAAACTATCAAACTTTCCAAAATATAATAAATGAGTCTCAGTTCTTCCATGCTGATTATTAACTATTGTCAAAATTTATAAGTCCTTCCTCAGTCTAGTGATTCCTTTCTTTGGAAAACTCCCTTTAATTTAATGAGAGTTTGCCTGAGAGTAAGAGTGATTAAAAATGGGTAAGGAAGAACATAAATATTAAATGCCAGTTAAGACTTCCTGTTATCTCAGCCTATATTACAGAAAATGGTATTATGGTCAAGTATATGCTCAAATGAACATAGACATGGTTTTGTGCTTCCTTGGAAGCATATGGAAGCATCCTTGGAATTAATTTTATTAGGGGGAGTGAAATTAAAGTCTAATTGATAAGATCTAGCTAAATGGCTTACTAGTGATGGCAGGCAGAGTGATCACCCTGTGTGTTGAGCAGGACCTTGTCAAGAGCATTTCACTTAGCAAACCTGCATGATTACTTTAAAAAGTAGCTCAGTGGAAACTGCAAACCAAGGTACCAAAGACTAAAGAAGAGGAGTTAATCTGGACTGAATAAAGCAGATGGCATCTGACTTCTTTGCCCAGAGTAAAAAGAAAAAAATCTAAGGGATAAATTATCCTTACAAGTGAATCTGGTAGAAAATAAAACCTGAATAAATAAATTGTCTATTAGCATGACTGTAACAATGCCTTAAATGTGAGACGGCACCAGGATAGCTAATGCAGCCAGGCACAGAAATGAAATCCTTTGGACAAATTTCTTTTGGATTTTTTTCTTATTTGGTTTGGGCCGACCTTTGTTATTTATTTATTTATTATTAAGAACTGGTAGTGAACTGAAAATATATTCACCCAGCTCTGGATTGACTAAATGACATTTTCTGTACTGTTATGCAAGATCTCAGAGTATATGAACGTACTAGTTCCTTCTGACCTTGAAATATATATGAAAACTTCAACATTTGAAATAAGTTCAGTTTGTCCACCTTATCAGCTGACTCTGAGTCATTTGTACTTTCACCTACTGTTTTCTCAGAGATGAACATTAGTTTTACTACTCCATTCCCCTCATCCCCAACTTGTTTATCTCTGGTTAAGAGAAGTGGTAAAGGATAAACTTAACTGTAACTCATTATTGAAGTCCTTTCTTCTGTAGGTGAGCAGATTCTCTATTATTGCTTGTAATAAGAGGTGTCAGACTTTGATTAGTAACTTTAGATGAGCTAGTTATTTTTTTTTTTTTTTTGTAAAATGTTTCTATTTCTCTCTTTTAGAAATGTGGATTTAGAAACCAAAAAATGGTTTCAGAAATGCATCTTCTTTATGTAATCAGAAAAAAGAAAAAAACAATTCTGGAGAAGCAGAAGGGCAATAAGGTAGTAATAATGGGTTACTAGTATTACATGTTTCCTATCCATAACAAATTTGTTTCAATGCATTGTTTTTATATAATTTGACTTGCATTTATACGTCTGTCATAAAATTCTAGCTATACAAGATACACATTTTTCAAAAATGCCTTCATGACTTAGAAGTATATCTTTGTGAACAACAGCTGTTTTGGTTCATTGGCAGTTCCAACGTATCAAACAAAGATCCTTTTCAGATTGGACCACCTGCACCTGCTGTGGAGGAGAAAGGCACCTCTCCCACCAGCCCCATCCCATCCCTAAACCTGCTTTGACCAGGGTGATAGGCACCCCTCCTTTGGGGCCCCAACCCAGACCTGACACAACTTAGGAAGAGGCACCCTTCACCTGCACCAACACAGCCCAGCTCTATATCTGTTGTAGCCAGGGAAGAGGCGCCTCTTCCTCAGCCCCAACCCGGCCCCAGCCTGGACCTGCTGCAAGTGAGGGAAAGCTTTCCCTGCCATAGCCATGGGACAACCTACAGCTCCTAATCTTCATTCCTGGCCCTCAGAGCCTGCACCCCCCCTAACCAGAGCCTGTACCTCAACCCAACCTTCTGCCCCAGCTCTGATCCCCTCCCACACTTTCAACCCCTCAGCCCCACTCAGTCACATGAATTTTGTTATGTACACCAATATAGAGGTGTTCTGCCATGTTTCACCTGCATATTGGTGCACATAAAATTCTTTCTGCATGTGCATGGAGAAATTATAGGGAACATGGATTATATGTCTTCTGCTCTGTGTTTTATGCACATTCTACCATATATTTTATGTTATAGCAGTCTTGGATGTTGACCCGCCACATGTTGTTTGTTTTAAGAACATTTTCATTGCAGATTAGAAAAAAATGCAAAGAAGGTACCAATGTGTAACTTCTAAAGATAGATACAGCTTGACATAAGATTTAAGAACCTGAAGTGCCATCCAAAAATCTGAGAGGGGTGAGCTGTGGAGCAGGCTTTCAGGAGTCTTAAAAGAGCAATGCTTGAATGCAGAAACTACAGTACCTGAAGCACTAAAAAAAAAAAAAAAAGGAACTTTCTACTGGTAGCATCTGGTACAAAGGATGAAAATGAATATGCATCCATCTGCACTGATTGAGATCATTATCAAGCAGAACCCATCATCAGCATGTCCTTTGGAATGGTGGTGGATGCATGAAAGGGCATCTGGCATGTAAATATCTTGCAATGCAGTGCCATGTGAACACCTGTTCTCATTTTCAAGAGACATTGTAAACAAGAAGCAGGCAGCATTATCTCCTGCAAATGAAAAAAAAAATCGTATGTCTAAGCAGGCCCGTCGACAGGTGAGGGGAAAATTTGGAATTGATCCAAGGCCCAGTGATTTAAAAGGACCTGGGGCTCATGGCCATAGCTATGGCTGAAGCACCAGGCCCTATAATTTGTTTCCAAAGCCCTGGGCAGCATGCTCTGGGAGGCAGTGAAGGGATGATTGGGGGAGGCTAGCCCAAGATCCACCCCTTCCACCCAAGGCCATGCACCCCCATCTTGCCCAGACACTCCTGTGTCTGAGTGATTGGTTGAGCAAGAAGTATGACTAAGAAGATTAGTAGGCCCTAACCTTTTACCTTTTTTAAATTTTTCAAAGCAGACTTTTTGTATATAATTCTACATTTGTAAGTTCACCTTTGATGATAAAGAGATTGCACTACAGTACCTGTAGTGGAGGAATTGAAAAAACCTATTTCTTTTGTTTTTTTACAGTGCAAATATTTATAGTAAAAATGAATATGAAGTAAGGATTGAATACTTTGTATTTTGCATTGGAATGGAAATCAATATACTTTAAGTGTCCCTAATCCGGGAACAATGTTGTTATGGAGGAGGAAGCAGCTCCGTGTACTGCCATTCTTCCTCTCCCCAGCCGGTGGAAGTGCATTTAAGATATTTACTTCATTTGATTCTATATTTTATTTCGTGTATAGTACCACTGCCTCTTCCCCTCCCCCACCAGCACGACCTGTTCCATCGTCCTGATATATTTTGTACCTTGATATGACTGTGTCCAACTGATTGTCTTCATTCCACCAGGTTCTGTGATGTCTATTATATCAATATCCTCCTTTAATACAAGGCACTCTAGTTCTCCCATCTTATTTTTTAGACTTCTAGCTTTTGTGTATAAGCACTTTAAAAAGGTGTCACTAATGAATAATAAAAAGCTTGTATAGTGTGCCTTGACAATAAACACATTTAGGACGAGTCAGCTGAAAGAGAAAGCAAATTTGAAAATCAATGGCCCTTTCCTGACAAGCACCCCTCTACTGGACCACAAACATAAATTGAAGAACAGTTGGCTTGAGCAACAGGAGAGGAGGGTTCTTTAAGATTCTAAGGGTCCAAAACCATCAGGGCTTTATGCATTATAACCAACACTTTGAATTATACCTGGAAATTAATTAGAAACTAATGTACTTTAAGAGAGGGCATAATATGTTCCATAGATGAAAATAAATGTGGTGCAACCTGGCACATTACAAATCAAGATGTAGTACAAAGTAGTGTAATATTAGAAGAAAATATACTTGATTTAATGCAATAGGTTAGTGATCTACTTCCTCTTTTATATCTGTTCTTTATTTTCTATTGTTGAGAATTACTGTGGAATTTTACATTTTATTATTCATATCAAATCTTCCCTTGTTGCCTGCAGCTGCCATTGCTCCAGTCTATTCAGGTAAATGTGCAGTTTAATTCTGGTCTCCTATGTTTTCTACCTCTTCAATTATAGCCCAGCTGAAACAGTATTCATGTAACACCTGATGATGAAAGACATCACACAGCTGTGCAAGGGACACAAAGGTACTTTTGTTCATTTGTTTGTTTGGGGTTTTAAGTGTATTATTTTCTCTCTCTCTCTCTCTCTCTCTCTCTCTCTCAAAAAAAAGTCTTACTGGTGGACCTGATGCAATCCCCACTGAAGAGAGTCAGTCTTTCCTCTGATACCAGTAGGCATAGCTGCTCTATTAGGAAAATTTTCAGGGTAGGATTTTCAAGAGTTGAGTGCTTAGTTCTTAGGCACTTTTGAAAATCCTGTTATTGATTAATATCTTTCTTAAAAGTACATAAAATCACCTATCAGACTGGAACCCAATAATACTCAGAATGTAATGAGTGCAATACTGTGCAGCTCCTCTAAAGAGAGCCATCCTTTGAATCCTTCTGAGCCTGTGCCTTTCCACTGACAAAGGAAACTCCCAGGATAACTTAGGTCTAGGTGCCTGGATAAGTTATAGTACCCACTGTGGGCAGCCATATGAGCTGCAGTGCAATCTGGAATTTTAGCAGTGATGTGTGCTGAGGTCCCAATCTCAAGCCATGTCTCCTACACAGGGATTTGCAATGGGGTTCTGGTAAGGTAGCCTTACAGCTGCCTTTCATAGATTCTGCACTAGAAGAATCCTCTCCCTGCCAGCTGCAGGGAGGCACTTATTGCACCGTTACACTGATCCAGCCCTTTGATGTGGTTAAAAGGACTACAGGCACTGTGAGGATCTCATCTCATATTTACAAACATTGGACACAATCCTGAAACTTGTGCACATGGGCAACATCACTCAAGTGAGTGATCTCACCGATGCATGCAATCAGTGTGGTCAGATTTAAATCCATTACCTAGCTAATGACTTTAAATGCACACAATGAGGCGAGTGTAGAGGATTATTGTAAAGTAGTGTGTACTGGGACTTCTTAACTAGCTGTTGTATCATGAAAGCAGGGTAGTAACAAACTTCAACAGGACTCTATTTACCAAAAGTGAAACCTCTTTACAAAGCTGCTGCACCCCTCTGTAGCTCTCATTCAGCCCTGGCTAACCTTCTCTCCCCTCCTTCCTGTTTCCTGTGCTTCCAGACTCCCAACAGCCAGTGCTCCCATTACAAGCAGCATCTAAAACACCACATTCCCTCCTCTCTTAAGAAGCTCTCTCAATTATAAAATAAACATTGTTGTTCTAACCACAGCAACAAATATGGAACAAGCCATTATACTGTTGGCAGAAATATTACATTGAAAACACTGTAAATATGATGTAACATAGTTTCTAGTCCAGACAGGTGGTCATTTGGGTCTGACAGACCGTGTCTCAAACCCCGTTTCTAGTGCAACGTCTTGTTGTGTTGGTACTACACTTGGCATCATCTCCTCTTGGTGCATAGGCAGGTGCAAGATAAGAAGCATTCCATGCCCGCCCATCAGAAAGTTGATAGGTGTAAGGTCCTTTCTTCTCAACGATTTTAAGAGGAGATGTGAATTTATGGTCCCTTTTGCATAAAATTCCAGGTTTTCTTACTCTAATAAAAGAACCACACTCAAACTTTGGTTTCTTAGCACCTCGCCATTTGTCTGTGAAAGCCTTATACTTTTCTTGAAACAAAATACAGGACTATGTAGCACTTTAAAGACTAACAAGATGGTTTATTAGATGATGAGCTTTCGTGGGCCAGACCCACTTCCTCAGATCAAATAGTGGAAGAAAATAGTCACAACCATATATACCAAAGGATACAATTAAAAAAAAACATTTCTATCATTATACTTTTCTTGATTCTGTTCAACTGTTTTTCTCACATCATCCTCTTTTGGTCCATCAGGTCTTGCCTTTAACAATCCAGTGATGTTCAGTTTAGTATTCATCTGTTTTCCATGCAGTTTTCCGTGCGGTAAAATCTTTTCATTGTGGCATGTCGTGTAGCCCTGTATTCTTGCAAGAAATCAATGGTGAAGGTTATCCACGATTGCCCTTCCAGTATAGCCATTTGCAAACTCTCTTTCAAGCTTCTGTTAAACCTTTTGATTTCCCCATTGGCTTGAGGGTAATACAAGGATGATCGTCTATGTAAAATGTTCCTCTCTATTAAAAAAGTTTCAAATTCCAGGGAAGTAAATTGACTACCATTATCTGAAACCAGTTCTTTGGGGTTACCTTCCCTGCTAAAAACTGTAGAGAGGAACTTAATTACCGTAGCGGAAGAGATTTGCAATGTAAACGCTACTTCCGGCCATTTACTGATAGTCTATTCAAGTGATAGCATAACAACAGTCAATTGGAGCAGTATCAAAGGGTCCTATGATGTCAATTGCAACTTTTTCCCATGCAGACTCAATAGACGAACAGGCTGTAATGGTGGGGTACATGTCACTGTTGTCTTATCGTTCATTTGGCAAATGACACGGGATTTTATGATTGCTTCACTTTGGGAGTCCATCCCTGGCCATCAATACAGATCTCATAGTCATTGTTTGGTTCTGACAATTCCTTGATGAGTATCATGTGCCAGGTGTATGATTTTGACTGTAATTCTTCTGGCACAAGTAGACGGTGTGTACCTCGTAGCACACAGCCATCAAACAAAGAAAGTTCATCCCAAGCTCTAAAATAAGAAAGCAAAACGTGGTCAAGATTTTTAGGGTTACTGGGCCATCTCTTTGTCAGAAAGTCCCATAACTTTTGTTGAATTGGACATGCCTAACAAGCAGCTTGGAATTGCTCTCTTGTAACTTCAATAAGAGTGCTTGTAATAAGTGCAACTACTTCATCCTCATCCTCCAGTGGACCATCTAGTGAAGACAAAGGCAGGCAAGAAAGGCAATCGGCTATCACATTTTGGTTTCTAGGCTTATATCCTGAGGAGTAACGTTAGTTCGAACCAAGGGGGTGGATTCGAACTAATGCGTACTGGACCACACTTCCTAGTTTGAATCAGCTGGCGATCGGAATAGCGTGCTGGCGAGATTATGCTAATGAAGCCCAGGATATTTAAATCCCCGCTTCATTAGCAATTTTGGTCGGCTACATTTGCATCTCTAGTTCAAACTAGGGTGCAAGTGTAAACTTACCCTGAGTATAGATACTGCTGACTCAGCAGTATCTAACATTAGCTGAATAGGATGTGATTTGCCTGAAGATGTGGCAGAAACATTTACAGTGCACCTTATCTGTTCTGGAATATGTGCAGTAGCGATTTTGTCCACACTCAGCACAGTAACATCTGGTATTGTAACTTCATGCACCTGTTGATTGGACTGGCTACTGCAGCATACCTTAACATCATCTTTTTGCGGTGATTGTACTGAGCTACTTTTGCAGGACATCTTGTGTAGCTTGCAAGGTGTTGTGGGGATCAACAGAAAAAGCACGCTTTTGCTGTGCTTTGAATTTGCTGATTCTGTGGTTTCTCATTAGTCTTCTCCTTGTAATTGTTTGTCTGCAGTGATAGTGGACTTTTCTGCAAAGCAGTCACACCCTGGACTGAGCCTCCTGTATCCATGCTCATTATTTTGGCTTCTGCTATTGCTGACTCAATCTGGGTAGCAATTGTTATTGCTTTTTCCAGTGTAAGTTTTGGTTCTAGAAGCAAGTGTTCTCTTATACAAAGCATAGTTGTTTTCTCAATGAGCTGGTCTCTAATCATCTCATTTGCCATATTCCCAAAGTCACAAGTTACAATCAGACTCCTCAGAGAAGCATGATACTGGCATTATAGTCTTCCTGGTTTCTGCTCACACTGTCAAAATCTGTAGCAATTACCTACTACATTCACTTTTGGCACAAAAAAATTCTTTAATGTAGTGAGTGCAATCTCATATTTATCATCTGCAAGGGGAAAAGTGTAAAATGTACACTGCCCTTCTGCTCCAAGGCAGTGGATTAACAGAGCACGTTTTCTTACTTCGGAAATCTCTGTATCACTGATTGCAAGCGGATAAGTCTCAAACATATGGATCCAGGCAGTAAAAGCAATTGGAGGTTCACTTGGGCTTTACAGAAAGGGTACAGGTGGGTTCAGAGGCAGAAGAACCATCCTTGTCGCCAAAATGTTGTATCATGCAAGCAAGGTACTAACAAACTTCAACAGGACTCTATTTACCAAAAGTGAAACCTCTTTACAAAGCTGCTGCACCCCTCTGTAGCTCTCACTCAGCCCTGGCTAATCTTCTCTCCCCTCCTTCCTGTTTCCTGTGCTTCTAGACTCCCAACAGCCAGTGCTCCCAGTTCTAATCATTACAAGAATCATCTAAAACTCCACACTAGCACATAACATGAAGAGGCTTTGATTCTCATTTTGGATTCTGAGGTGCAATAGAGAACTAATTAGCAATAATAATATTTTTTTTACAGCTGGACAAACAGATATTGAATGGACATGTGTCATCAGCAGGAGGGATTGACCCTGTGACCTTAGGAGCTAAAGCACATGTCTCTACCACATGAACTAAAAGTCAATTGCCTCTAAGCTAAGGCAGTAAATTAGCTTTCACTCTCCCTTGGCAATGATCTTAGTGCCTCTGGGTTACATCCATGGGCACAAAATAAGTCAGTAGAAAGATTAAAACCCAAGACAGCCTGACTGTCAGTATACCAAGCTATGCTGCTTTTCTAAATTGCTTTTTAAGTACAGAAATTTTGTTACAGAAAATGTTCTTCGTTAATCACAAAAGATTGTTTTGTTCCAATGGACTCCTGGCTTCAGAGAGACTAAGAATTTGATTTCTAGCATGCCTTAACACTTTACTATGAGAAAAATGAATAAAGATGGATAGAAGATAGTCTTTCCTAGTCTATTTTTATTTATAACTAGCAGAAGAGGCCTGTCATTGACTGGGCAAAGTCATTTTGCGTAGATTACACTTAGAGGAAAGTTCAAGAAATGAAGTATATGTAATAGAATATTTTATTATGTGCCTGCAAAAGGGAAGTAAAAGAACAGTTTTAAATTTGTAGGATTTCAACTACAACCATTTTTCATTTTATTGAGTAATTACCACAGTAAATTTGACTCAGAAACTTATAAAGCTTC